AAAGGGTGTCACGACCCGGATTTTCCACCCTCGGGAGTCGTGATGGCGCCTAATCATGAAAGCTAGGCAAGCTGAGTGTTATATATATCTTATTGCCCTTTTTCTTAACTTTTGCAATTTTAAATTAACATGCAATTAACAGCGGAATAATAACATTAATAAAAGAAATGCGGAAGACAAAATCTGATAACTTAGCCAAATACGAGTATGAAAAATGCACAATACATCTCTACTTAGAACTGGTGTCACAACATCACGGACCGTCTACGAATACTACAAACAGATGTCTGGAAAGAAAACTACAATCTGTCTCTGAAATAAATGAAAACAGAACATAAAAAATAGATGGGGACACCAAGGTCTGTGGACGTCTGCAGGGCTACCTCGGGTCTTCGCTGGACTGAAGGCAGCAACCACTCTAAGGTCCAAAAGCTCCGGTACCAAGATCTGCACAAAATGCAGAGTGTAGTATCAGCACAACCGACCCCATGTGCTGGTAATTGTTGAGCCTAACCTCGGTGAAGTAGTGACGAGGCTAGGATGAGACTACCAAATAAACATGTGCAGTTAAAGCATATACGACAAATAGTAATAACGGAAACTAGCAATTAAAGATGAGAAGGGGAAACATGATGCGGGGGAATATCAAATACCAATAATAACTCAGGAGAAAAGCATAAAGAACAAATTAAAGCTCGCATCAGAAAGGATAAGGAAACAGTAACAAATCAATATCCACTTTTATCCTTTATTGTTGCGGCGTGCAACCCGATCCAACACATATAACATTGTTGTGGTGTGCAACGCGATCCATATCATATATCACTGTTGCGGCGTGCAACCCGATCCATATCATATATCACTATTACGGCGTGCAACCCGATCCATATCATATATCACTGTTGCGGTGTGCAACTCGACCCTCATGTCCTCCCTTATTACTCCATGTTGCGGCATGCAACCCGATCCCATATAATATTGTTGCGGCGTGCAACCCGATCCCAATATACAATTCAACACCAATCACAAAATAATCCCAGCAAGGGAACAATAAAGAAACAATAATATCCCGGCAAGGGAATCAACAATGAGAATAAACACATCCCCTCAAGGGAACCAACAGTACGAAGTAAATACGTCTCGGTAAGGGAATCAACTATAACCAAACTTGTTCCAACATTTAACTTCACAAAAGAAACCTCAAGTAGAACCAATACTAAACCATAAACGAATACCACGAGAATAATCATAATTCTTACCCAACACCGAGAATCAACAACTTATGCATTTGTAGTACTATTTAAGAACACAATGATTTTAATTTAAGACTCACAGGCATTCTTGACAACAACGTATAGATACTCGTCACCACACCTATATGTCGTACACTACACTAGTACATAACAAATAAGACACAACACCTATTCCCTCAAGCTAAGGTTAGACCAAACACTTACCTCGAACTTTCACGACCAACTCAAGCCTCAAACACCGCTTTTCCTTTAGAATTCGCCTCCAAATTACTCGTATTTAGTCTAAATTAAATTAATAACATCAATAAATGCTAAAGAATTCATACCCAATGCTAAAGAATAAAAACCCTAGATTTTTGGATGAAGATTGATGAAATGCAATGGGAAATCGAAAGAAAAAGGTTTATAGCCCGTTTGGCCAAGCTGCAAAAATCAGCTTATTTTGAGAAGTGCTTTTTTTTAAAAGTTCTTTTCTCAAAAGTACTTTTGGTGAGAAGCAGTTTGTGTTTGGCTAATTAGTTTGAAAAGCACTTTTGAGCAGCAATTAGTGTTTGGCCAAGCTTTAAAAAACTGCTTCTAAATGTATTTTTCTCAAAAGTGCTTCTCAAAAAAGTGCTTTTGGAGAGAAGCTACTTTTCTCTGCTTCTCCAAAACTGCTTCCGCTTCTCCTCAAAAGCACTTTTTTTCCTTCCAGAAGCTTGGCCAAACACCCAAATTGAGGCCAAAAGTGCTTTTGGCCAAAAAAAAGCACTTTTGGCCAAAAATAAGCTTGGCCAAATAGGCTATTAGAATCATATACCAATGCTTTAGGGAAGAACTAGTCTCTTGAAAATCGCCTCAATGCTCTCTAGTTTTGAAAATATGAAGTAAATGGATTATGCCCGTTTTTTGCTATTGTTTTAAAAATAACTGGGCAGGCCTTCATCGCGTTCGCGATGGGTCAGGTCCAGATGGCCATCGCGTTCACGTTCCAAGGCTCACATTCGCGGAGCTTCAGCTCCTCAAGCTTTCGCGTTCGCGGTCAGGTGGCCGCGTTCGCGTAGAACAATTTGAAATCCCTCCCCCAGGCCCACTAACCCTACGCGTTCGCGAGAGCCTGAACGCGTTTGCGAAGGTTAACTCCCCCCACAGCTTCGCGTTCGCGTCCTGAGCTCCGTGTTCGCGAAGAACAAACTGGCACCTGAGGAAACTTGCCTTATGTGTTCGCGAGTGAAGCCACGCGAACACGCAGAACAAAATCTCTGTGCACCTGAGACAGCAAAACCTGCAACTTTTCTAAGTGTAAAAACATCCCGAAACTCACCCGACCCCTCGGGGCTCCAAACCAAACATGCATACTAACCCAACAACATCATATGGACTTACTCGTGCGATCAAATCACCAAATTAACACCTTTAACAACGAATTTAGCATTAAAATCAAAGAAGAATCTCAAGAACTCTTAAGTTCAAATTTTAACAACTGAGGGTCCGATTCACATCATTTCAAGTCCGTTTCTCACCAAATTTTACAGGCTCAACCTAAATACCATATAAGACATGTACCGAGCTCTAGAACCAAAATGCGGGCCGATACCATCAATTTCAAATACATTTAAATTTTCAAAAACACTTAAAATTTCAGTTAAACAATTTTCTTCAAAAATTCGTTTCTCGGGCTTGGACCTCAGAATTCAATTCCGGGCGTACGCCCAAGTCCCATATTTTTCTATGGATCCTCCGGGAACGTCAAATCACGGGTCCGAGTCTGTTTACCCAAAATGTTGACTGAAGTTAACTTAAATTTAATTTTAATTCCAAATTAGCATTTTCATCAAATTTTCACATAAAAGTATTTTGGATATACACTCGGACTGCGCACACAAATCGAGGTGAGATAAAAGGAGGCTTTTAAGGCCTCAGAATACAGAATTTACTTTTAAATCAAGTGATGACCTTTTGGGTCATTACAAAGGGTTATTATGTTATTTCTTTTTTATGTAATTTTAATTTATCTTTTATTTTATTTAATGAAAAAATTTGTTTTTGTTTTAAGTTTTTGCGCATTTTTTTGTAAATATTAATTTTCTTTAAACTCGAAAAATAACAGAGGAAATGAACTTAATAACTTCAGTAGGAATTAACAAAAACTCATCCGAAAATTACATATTGCAGGACAAAATATTAAGCATGTGTTTAGCAAATGAACTAAAAAACTTCAGCATACTAAAAAATATATGAAAAATATTTTACATATTCCGGAAAACTTAAGCATTTTTTGGTATGAAGTTTTACCAAAAAATCATAATAAAATACATAGTGCAGGAGGAAAACATCAGCTCTTTTTGCTGAAGTTTTCAAGAATGAACTACACAACTTCAGCACTTTATGCTGAAGGTTTTGTGCAATATGTAATTTTAATTTATGTTTTATTTTTACCCAGTGGAAGAGGGAAACTTCAGCTCGTTTTCCTGAAATTTTTAAAGATGAACTAAACAACTTCAGCATATCATGCTGAAGTTTTTGTGCAATATGTAATTTTAATTTATGTTTTATTTTTACTCAGTGCAGGAGGAAAACTTCAGCTCGTTTTGCTGAAGTTTTTAAAAATGAACTAAATAACTTCAGCACTTTATGCTGAAGATTTTGTGCAATATGTAATTTAAATTTATGTTTTATTTTTTACCCAGTGGAGGAGGGAAACTTCAGCTCGTTTTCCTGAAGTTTTTAAAGATGAACTAAACAACTTCAGCATCTCATGCTGAAGTTTTTGTGCAATAAGTAATTTTAATTTATGTTTTATTTTTACCCAGGAAGAAAACTTCAGCTTGTTTTGCTGAAGTTTTTAAAGATGAACTAAACAACTTCATCACTTTATGCTGAAGTTTTTGTGCAATAGTAATTGTAATTTATGTTTCAGCTTGTTTTCCTGAAGTTTTTACATATGAACTAAATAACTTCAGCTTGATTACACTACAAAACAAATACTTCAGTATATGTAAAAACTCAGCTTGTTTAGCAAATAAACCAAAAACTTCAGCATATTATGCAGTGGAAAACTTCAGCATATTTGAATTTGTCGGATTAGAATGTTAGAATTCAACGTGAAACAGATTTAGAATGCAAATTCATTCATTAGTTTAATCTATCAGTGAAAAGTTCATGTTTCATCCGTCAAACAACTTCAATCAATCAATCAGAAACATATATTCAAGTGCGAATTACGAAAATAATTATAGAAACATCTATCATGAAATCAATCAGTTTCAAAAACTATTTTGAATTTTGAAGATGAATTGGAATACTTACAATGTATTTTGTAATTTTGAATTTGGAATTTGAATCTGGTTCAAATTTCTGGTTTGCGAGAGGCGATCTGAGGAGAGACGGGGTGATGAGGAGAACCATAAATTGATTTATGCGTGATGCATCTTCTATATGTTTTGTCAGGGGTATAATGGTCATATTATTACTAATTTTTTGTTAGTTGGCTACCAAATCAATAGTTTTTAAAAATAGGGTACATGTTAAAAGGTGGCATAAATATAGGCTATGGCTGCAAATCGCCCAACAATATGTAGCTAGTATTCTTTCTATTTTTTGTGTGTTTCGAGTTGATGTAGATTTTGAGTGATATTTTCTTTTTTTTTTTTTTTTTTTTTTTTTTTTTTTTTTTTTTTTGGTTTCTCACTTAGTATTCGCATTGAAACCCGACTAAATTCATATTCACGCTAGGAAATCTCATACTAAATTTTCACTCACGCAATCTTGATATAAATTGGTAACGAAAGATAAACATATCCCTGTAATTTGAATGCAACAACTTATTTTCATACTAGTATTACAATTATTCAGGGTTTATATAAAACGATTGTCATATCTTAATTTTGCTCAAACTAATTAAAACCAGAACATAATTCACTTCCTGAGATGAAATTCTACTAATTTCCATGAGGCAGAAGGCGAACAGGAAGGCCATGCATTGGCACAGGAGAAGCATGGAACACAATCTTCTCATCTGGAATAACCTTTTCAAGTTTAAACCTTTTGACCACATTGTGCATCAACACTAGTACTTCCAGTCGAGCATACTCTTTTCCAGGGCACATCCGAGGTCCTCCCCCGAAGGGTATAAACGTGTAGGGTGCAGGTCCACTCCCCTCAAACCTCGTTGGATCAAACTTTTCAGGATTAGAGAAGTATTTCGGATTCTTATGTGTTGAGTGCACTGACCAAAATGTCTGTAAAAAACATGTCATTTTCACAAACCCCGTATATATTATAGATATAGATAGGAATGAAGATAGCTAGTAACAAAATGAAAGTATTTAATTTTGTACCTTCCACCCTTTTGGAATGGTAAAACCTGCATATGTAGAATCAGTGATTGTTTCTCTAAAAGCTCCTTGAGCTGGTGGAGTTAGCCTTAGTGATTCACGTGCTACATTCCAAGAATACTTCATCTTCTCAATGTCTTCCCAACTTAGCAACTCATCTTCTCCTTTTGACTTTGCTATTGCCATTTGTTCTGTCATCAAACAATATTTTTTGTCATGTGAATATATTCGACATATAGTCTGTTTGGCCAAGCTTTTAACATCAGCCTATTTTGAGAAGTGTTTTTTCTGAAAAACAGTTCTGAAAAATAATTAGTGTTTGGCCAACCTTTTAAAAATTGCTTCTAAGTGTATTTTTCTCAAAACAGCTTTTCAAAAGTATGTTTTTTGGGGAGAAGCTAATTTTTTCTACTTCTCTAAAACTACTTTTGCTTCTACTCAAAAATAAATTTTTTTTCATCTAAAAGCTTGGCCAAACACTTCAATTTTGGAAAAAAATACTTTAGACCACGGAGAAGCTTGGCCAATCAGGCTAGTAGATTTGTCCACCAATTTAAGTACTTTACCTATTTATGAATTAAGTATAGTAACATTTAGATTTTCATTTTCCAAAGACATGTTTAATTTACCCTTGTAAACTTGATCGTAGACGTGGGGAAGTTCAGCCAGATACTTCAAAACACTAGTGGCTGCACTACTAGTAGTCTCAAAGCTCGCCACTAGCATTCCTATTAGATTGTTGGAGATCTCCATTTCACTCATAAACCTTCCATTTTCATCAGTAACAAGCAACATTTTCGACAACAAGTCTCTGCCTCCTGCTATTGTCTCCTTATTCTCCATTTGTAATTCCTTTCTCCTCTGTGTAATGATCCTCATAAGTTCAACCCTCACCATTTTCCCGCCTTTGATAGCGCGATTATAAGCTGTTCCGGGCAAATCAATAGGCATAGAAAATATTCCATTTGTAACAAGAGTGAAAGGATCAGCTAACCTTTTTATTTCCTCAGGATTTACCAAACTCATGAACAATCGACACGCCAAATCAAATGTGTACTTCTTTGACAATGGGAAAACCTTGACTACTCCATTATTAGGAATCCAATTTTCATCTAGATGATCTCGGGCCATTGAATCCATAACTGGAATGTATTGTTTTAGAGCCTCAGGCTTGAGAATATCGTGGAGAAAACCGCGTTGTAAAGCGGATACTTCTTTCAATGAACTCTCAGCAAATTCAGGGAAAAGCAATGCCTTTTTCATGGATTTTGGCCACCAGGATGTGAGAAGTTTGTTCTCATTTGAGAATAAGAACTTATTCCCTTGTGCACCACAAAACACAGCCATTTTCTCTCCCATGATTGATGTTTGGAACACTTGAGGTGAGTACTTTTCCATTCTTTTTTTGATGAATTTCTCAGGACCTAATAAGGCAAACTCCATATTTTCTCCTAACAATGGCCATCCAGATGTTCCTGGTGGAAGTTTTTTGCTATTCGAATGGCGTTTACGAAGGAAGAAGATGAAAGTGAGAGATAGAGGAAGAAATAGCAGAGCTAATAGGTAAGAAATCATGGCTTCCATTTCTTTTTCTCTTCTTTTTTTGCTATATATTGGAGAAGTGAGTGTACAAGTGCAGATATATATAGGATGTGAAGGGCTTAAGCTAATTGGACAACACCGAAGATAAATAAGACAATTTGAAGGATATAGGATTACTTGAATATGAGAATTGAAGAAAATTTGGAAATACAACAACAACTATTTTTTGGAAATAGTTTAATGGAATTTTTAACATTTTTTGGGCTTTAAATAAACAAGACAAGATTTGCAGAATTAGGAGGTGATTTATACGATTCTCTACTTTGTCTTCTTCTGCCTTAGGATTATATGATATCAATTTTTATTTTTAAAATCATAGCTGTCCACTTTAACCATTTAATGGATCAATTTTTTAAATTTTTTTCTTCATCTATTCTCGATTTTTTTGGATCAGCAAAATATTGGTGATGTGTGTTCTAGCTCTAGGAATGCCAATACAACAATTTTACATCTTGGTTGATTCTTTTTGGGTTAAGATTTTCATACGTTTTTTAAATTATGATTAATTTTTCTATTTTTACTTAACTAACTACTGTAACTTATTTTAGAACTTTTTCTAGTATTCAGAAATTCACTTGCCTGATTAATTCTAAATCACGCTGCATAAGGCTCATTAAAAAAGAAAATACTTCCTCCCGAGAATTTTTCATGTGTAGGGCTCGATCCTAAACCTCTGGCTAAGGATAGAGGTATCTTATCAAGGAGATGTAGATAGGCTAAATACAAAAAATTTAGGATTTTGCATTTTGAGCATCGGTTTATTAAGGACAGTAAAAAATAAGTATGTGTCCAAAATATAGTTTCAACAAGTGACAAACAAGAGTTGTTGCTGGTCGGCATCTTTTCTCCGGTCGACCATACAAATTTTGCCTCTACAGAATTAAATTCCTGTTCTTGATTGCAAAGTTAAAGGTGGAAAATGATTTTCATTCATATATTTGTCTATTATTCCTCTGCTAGAGCTAAGAAATTTCTTTGTTCATCGTTTTGCTACTGCATTGATAGTCCACAATCCACATCTTTCTCTTGCTTTCTAATGTTGGGCTAGCCTTAGTTCCAGGCCTATACCCAAATTTGGGAGACTATCGTCTTGGGCTCGAACAGGTTTATATTTTGAAAAGCCCACCTTTCACTTACAAATTAGGGAGAAATTCAAAAATAGTCAGATTTACAAGTGATCATTAAAAAATAGCCACAGTCTCAAAAGAAATCGAAATTTAGCCACTTTTTATATAAAGATAAATCTGAACGAAAATACTATTTAAAATCTGTAAAATATTCTAGCATAATATACTGGAGTTCCAGTATAATATATTGTTCCAGCATAATAGCTAGAAGTTCATGCACATGTGCTCCAATCTCCAGCATATTATGCTGGAACTTTCCGTGTTGTAGCAAAATAGTGGCTATCTTTCAATGACTTTGCAAGTGCTGGTTATTTTCAATAACTAGTCCGAAAACTGGCTATCACATTCTATTTTTACTATAAATTACGTACAAACACTTTCTTTTTCTTTTGTTTCGTCTTTTTTTGCTATTTATAATAACTACAAGCAAACATACCACTAAGGAGTACGGTGAATGATTGGAGTTCCTCTATCTTTAATTAGAGGTCTCTTGTTCGAGCCTTGCAGATGAAGAATTTCTTCGTAGGAGCACTTTACACCATTAGCGGCTCTACCTGATGCAAATTGAGAAAAATTCAAAAATAGAAGTTGAAAATCCAGAATTAATCGAGCCAGTGGGCTTCGCATACAGGACTGCAATAAGAGTTCAATAGATCTAAAATAAGAGTTCAAGTGGTGAAAGTATTATACTGTATAAGTTCTTTAGTATTATTTTTTCCAGCTCTGAGGGACGTGTCACCACCCTCTCTTCAGTTCTTGTCAACAAATCTAGCACTCTAGGGTTTTTATGCAAACAGTAATCATTTAATGGTTTGTAAATTAATAAATGTTAGTCAAACTAGCCTATTAGTTCAAAACTCTTATCTTCTCCAAATGCAAAATTAGTCATTGGGCCACCTCATTTCTTCATTACCCTACTCTTTGAATTTGTAGCCTATCCATATATGCAAAATTAGTCTTGTAAGCAATACTAACTACTTAGAGTAACTGATGAACAACTAATTATGTAGCATGTTATTTTTGACTTACTTAGCAGAGCAATTTGTGAAAATAAGTTAAAGCTAGTGATTAATTCTTGTTCTTAGGGAAAAAACAAGAATAAAACAAAAACAAAATTATCATTTAATTACTTAATCGTCTTTGCTCTAAGTTTATCTCGCTCTTAAATAGGTCATTGGCACTTCGGGTGTGCATAGTATAAAAAGTCAAAGTTGTGCTGACCCAAATTTCCTAATCGATATGTTAAATTTAGCTTACATAGAGCTCTCTCTTGTGAGTAGCTATTCCTCAAGGGGTATAAAAACTTCAAAGACAATTATTAAAGAGAAAACCGATTATATAGGGTAATAAAGTCTTAATTACATCTAGCTTACCTAAAACTTTTTTGACTTGAAAAAGTAGAATACCTCAACTTGTTCTTGATTTAGACACCCACTCGTGGGGTTGAAAGTTAAAGGCAGAAATAAACAAAACCAATCAATCAATTAAACTTTAGGCGTCTATTCGCCGAGTCTTAAAAGCTTTGACAAATGGACACAAAAAAGCGGAGTAATAATCAAGTCCTCATAAGATGAGCTCGAAGTCATTATCGTAGAGTGAATACTACTCCCTCTGTACTGTTTATTTGTCGTTTAACTTTTTGACATACTTCTCCCACTCTAGAGGATCAAACTAATTAATTTTTGGTGTAAATTCGGGTATAAAATTTTCAAATTTTTTGAAATAAAATTAATATATTTAAAAACTATAGTAGTATAAGTCACAATAGTTCACAATTTAAAATATCTAAAAAGTATTTATAAAAAATTATAATCAAAGAAAGCCTTGTTTGACTCTTCAAATTAATAATAGAGACACAAAAAGTGCAATAGATGGAATATCTATTTTTAAAAAATTATCTAATAATATTAATCATAAGGAACATTTGATTAGAATTCCTTTATTTACCTATTCTCTAAATGAGTAAGTAATAATTGTATGTCGTCTTTAAATAGTATTGCTGAGATCAAACAATTACAAATACCTTTGTAATTTTCTAAAATGAGTATAAGAAATTTTTGGCTAGAGGTACAGATAAGAAAGACAGAAGCATGCAGTACAATGCAAATACATGAACCACTACACATCTTCTAAGTCTCGTACCTCAGGTCGTTTTCTTTTATATATGTACGTTAAGTACCTATTTTAATTAGCTTCGTGTGTGTGTGCGCGTTTGTTTCATTTTTCTTTTCTTTTGGGCATGAGGAATAATGGTGTGGGCACAGCTCGTAGCCTAGTAGATACTTGGTGGCAAATATTATCCGAAATACACACTGATGAGGCAAGTAATTTACACACGAAAGCAACCAAAGTGGCAAGTAACAACGTGGCAGAATAAGTCGGGAGATTCCTTTGTGCCTGTTACGTGCAAATGCACAGTCTAACACCTGTCCTCATATTATATTGGCTTGTCGTGTTTGGGTGATTTTCACTCTGTGGCCATAAATTTATTTCTTTTGAATATCAAATATTATCTTAATATTCCAAATACTGAACTCTAATATTTCAAATAATCATGAACAAAAAACGTGCTAAGACGAAATGGAGAATAGATTTGTCCCTGAATCGAATAATTCAGGGACAGAACTTACTTTCTTGTTTTGTTTTAATTGAATATATTCCCGAACGGGGGCAACCGTTAATTCGGAATGCATTTTGAACAATTCGACTAAGGCAGGGACACTTTTGAACTAAAAAGAAAAGAAAACGAACGATAAAATCGTCACATTTCGTTAAATCTAATAAGGGGAAAATGAGCGGTTTTCCCAACTTTAAATACTTTTCTTTGGACGTCAAGCAAATTAAGTTTGTCCAAATGCCTACTTAACGACTTGTTTGAATGGTTATTACATATTATTTCATTTCATAATATATTGTATTGTATTGTTTTGATGAATATAATATTTAGATAGATTGTATCGTTTACCGTTATTTCATGACGTCATACACCAACAATATGAAAAATAAACTTATAATACTATTAAAAAAAATAGGATACAAGGCAGCATTATTATATAAAAAGTAGGATAAATGATAAAATATGAATATTTAATAATTAGGAAGGGCAAGACTGAGAGAAAAAAATAAGGCGACCACACCAAATTAATTGTTACATAAAATGATACTTTTTATTATTATATAACAATGCATTTAACGTTACGATATTATAAAATTAAATAATAATTAAAATAATATTGTATTTGAAAGTAACGGTAAAGTGCCCATTCGATAACACAGTCGGTAACATTTGTCCAAACAATAAAGTGGGCCTTCGATAAGTCGACCTCTTCCAGGCGTAGCCTGAGCCGTTGGATGCGGCGAGCTTCTTGGTAGCCTCAAATCGACGGATCACATCTATTGATTTGCACACCTTTTTTCTATTTTAAATTTTAGATTCCGCTCTTCTTCAAGTGTTTAATAAAGTTGTGTCTTTTTTTTTTAACGGACATTTCCAAAGGGACACAACTTTTGTCTGTGGTATCAATCTCTTACTTTCACACGGCTTCTTTTGGGATTATTTTCAACGTATAAGCTTTTTTTCTTTTTTTCTTTTTCCCTGAAATGCAGTATGAGTGAGGAGAGTGTGAAATACCTCACAATCCAAATTGATACTTTGAACATATATTTACATTTTAAAAGAGTTAAGATAAGTAATGTACATTACCAGTACAATTAGACGCTTCTAAACTCTCCATAACTTTGCCATATCAAAAGCGATTAGCACTACTTAGTGGAAATATATAAAAGTTAATTCGTGGACGAAATAATATGGGAAGGGGGCTGAGAAACTAATAGTTGTGGAGCTAAACTTTTATCTAAAGTAGAATTAAATGTAATATTT